AATAAGTGCCAAGTAGGTAGAGTTTACCTCAGTTAGTAGTTTCGTTGTCCTGAAAAAGTCTAGCGCAGCTTTTATGATGTCATCTCCCACAATTTCCAAGTTATGTTGATAGAACCCTGTTGTAAACCCGTCAGGACAAGAGACCATTCATAAAGAACATGGCAATTCTGAATTCTTCTCTGGTAACTAGTGCACACAAAAGATCAGCCTGATCAGAGGGAATATGATGAATGAGTAACTGAGAGACCAAATCACTAGCTACTCTTTTTCACTTCTGGATTCTTGGTCCCTACCAGATTTTGATAAAACTTTAGTGCTTCCCCACACATATCCTGCACATATGTTAGAATTGTACCATCTTCCGTTACTACTGTAGACACCCCATTTTGTCCGGATAGATACGTGATCAATTAGGAAATTTTAATTTGTTTGAAATTGTCAATTGCGAATCATAATCGTCATTTTGTCTGAATATTTAAATTAATGTAAATTTTTAAGTATTCACGTCGACTCATTGAGATTAGCAATTGCAAATCTAAAGATGTCGATATTTGAACATTAGTCGAATTGGTAAACAAGTTCGGAGTTTAATTGATCAATTCAATACGTCAACACTTGGCTTTTGAGAATCGAGGTAAGAAAGCTCAATAAAGAAACAAAACTTTTTATCATTAAGTATTAATTACATTTTAGAATCAATTACAATTATAGTTACAATTATACAATTTGGGCTCAAGTCAAAGCCCATAACCTAATCCAAAAGTCAAGCACGGTCAACAAAAGTCAACTATAGTCAAAGCTAACCAAACTGACCTATTGACCCGGTCCAACCAATTACCAAAATCGACCAGAATCGAACCGGCACTGTAGCATGCTTGGGGACCAAGCTAACTTTTTTTTTATAAAAAGACCCCTTGGACTCTTGCAAAGGGAGAGGGGTGGGGACTTTCTTCCTTGGATTTTCATTTTCTTCTTCCCCAAGCCTCTGCTCACTCTTCTTTCATATACACAGACAACCAAAACTAAAAAAAAGAAAGAAAAAAGAAACAGGAACCGACAACTTCTTCCATCTTCTTCCTCTGGATACTTCCTTCACCCACGACTCTGGGCCTTCTTCTTCTTCTTCTTTCTTCTCCACTTTCCTTCACCTCCTATGAAACGCACAGACAGTACAAACAAGGAAAACTCTCAGTTTCTCTACTTCTTCTCCAGTTCACAGAACAAAAGAACCTTCCCCGCTTCTTCTTCTATACCCGAGCTCTTCTTTGTGAGTGAGCAATTTTAAAGAACACTCGCAAATTTACTATTGTTAAACTATTTTGTATCTATGATGCCTATTATGCTAACTTATGTGAATGCGTAAATGCAAAGATGACTTTAATGGATTCATGTGCTTTATCTTTTATGATTTTTGTTGAATATGAGAAATGCTAATGTCATGAATTTTGAAAAGCTTTTATGTGCATAATAAAATCACATAATTTATGAGTATTCGATAATTCACAAAGTATCACATCACAAGCAAAAAAAATATAAATAAAAAAAATTTAATTAAACATACGATTTATGGAAGATTTAACGACAGAGTTTATACGAGATGGTGTTAGGTGGCTGCTAAGCTTACTAAATTCTTGGTAAATAGTTCTAGGGAAATACGCAAGTTGTATCCTATTATTGCTCTTTCAAGCTTAGTCGGATACCTCAAATCAACCTCGGATTTGAGTTCAACTTGGTTAGTAAGTTTTACGGTATTCCTCTACTATTATAGGAGTCACGTTACACCTTACAATTTCTTAAGTGAGAGCTTGGGTATGGAGCTTTTATGTACGAAATGAAATTAAATACAAAGTAAATAAAAACGCATACAATATAATAAACACCAAAAAAGTAAGAAAAGCTTATCGATTTAGTTAAATTGCTCGACTCTCAAAATGTCCCCAGCGGAGTCCCCACTGTCTCAACCGCCCTTCGGAGATCAGAGGATCCGTCGCGAAATGCTCGGAGTCGCCATCGATCTAATTTTGTGGTGGATAGAACACCATTTGACCCGATTTCAACCATGGAGTCGAAACCGGGAATTGGTCTGTGAATTTTTGAGATTTGGGTTCGGGAGTACGGTTACGTGTGGGGAAGTGTATTCACACCCCACAACGCCCAAAATTGCTACTACTTAAATCGATAAGTTGTTAAGGGTTAGGTGTATTATTATTTGTGGCTTTATTGATGTATTTTAATTTTATGATTCGATTAATTATTTGTTTGTTATTAATATTTGATCATACGTCTATTGACGCAATTCTCAAAATTAAAATAAGAGTTTTTGGTTAGTTGGACTCGAACTTATTGGTTGCCTACGTACCCGAGTAGTAGGGATCAAAGTCTACGTAGTTCGTTTAAAATGAGTGATTTGAATGGTTAACACTTACACGTTAAATTGTTGAGAAAATATGTTGGTTGGACTTGAAACCTATTGGTTGCCTACGTACCCGAGTAGTCGGGATCAAAGTCCACGTAGTTTGGTTTTGGAAGTATATATGAAGTGATCTTAACCTGTTCTATTGATCGTGGTGGCTAAGATGATAATTTGAGTTGTTAAGAAAATTTATTTGTGATATTTTAGATTGGTGATTGAGTGATAAGACGATTTTTGAATTGATTTCAACGAAAATGACCTTCACGATCTATTGACCATGATTTGTATTAAGGAATTTGCTAAGTAAAACGAGTATGTGTATAAGAAATGAAGATAGTAACCAAGGTTTTGTGATATTTTGAAATATTTAGAGTTAATCGTAGTTTGGTCAAACCATAATTCTTAACAGAATTAGTTGGTATGAATTTTACGTATTATCATTAAATCGAAAATAAAAATAGTTGAGGAGGGAACATGTTAAAGGAAATATAACGTGACTTAATGGCTAAGTGTGTTGACTGTGCCACAGGCTGAGCTCGAGGACGTGTTTTCGAACTTTACTCGGTGTTTTTTTCGTTTGTTTTCAACATAGGGCTATTTTGGTCTTTCGGAAGGGTTGTTTTCAACATAGGGCTATTTTGGTCTTTCGGAAGGGTTGGAGTATATATAGGGCTGGCTATTTGGTCAGGGTTTTTTGGTTTTATCCGAAACCGGATCGTATAACCCGGACCGAAACCGAATAGTAAACAATCCAATCCAATTTTTTATCTTAGATTTGAGGTAAAAAACCGTTCGAGACCGGATCGAAAACTGGGGTCCAAGATACAGTCAGTAACCAGTGGTTACTGACTTGTCAGTAATAAATCCGGGCCGCAGATCTAGGAGCCCAGCTCATCGTGCGGTTGGCCGGACGCGGGGAAGGGGAGGGATATTTTTGTCCATTTTTGAATTTTCTTTTAATTTATCCAACATTTAATAGTTGGCTTTTCAATAAAGGAGAGAGAAATAGTCTTTTCTCTCCAACTCTTTTTTCTCTTTCTCTCTCCCAATCTTCTTCTCCTGATCTAGATTTGTTCCCTTCTCTTATTCTTTTTTTTTAGCAATAGACGAAGAAAAATTGCAACCTCTTCTCTTTCATTGTATTTCTTTCTCTTTCTCTCTTCCTTTCTCTCTCCCAATCTTCTTCTCCTGATCTAGATTTGTTCCCTTCTCTTATTCTTTTTTTTAGCAATAGACGAAGAAAAATTGCAACCTCCCTCTTTCATTGTATTTCTTCTCTTCATCAAATCGTTGGCCTCAATTCGGTTTTTTCTCATTTTTTGGCATTTTGGTGTTCTTGATTGCAAAGGAGGAAATAAGAGGAGATAGAAGACGAGTTTTTTTTCTCCCTCCTTCTGTTTTTTTTTTCTTGTAGGCAATATATATTGATATACCACACTATACCATATGGTATTGGGTGGTAACGAAATATATATTGGTATTACCACACTATACCATATGGTATTGGGTGGTAACGAAATATATATTTATATACCACACTATACCATATGGTATTGGGTGGTAACGAAATATATATTGATATTACCACACTATACCATATGGTATTGGGTGGTAACGAAATATATATTGATATTACCACACTATACCATATGGTATTGGGTGGTAACGAAATATATATTGATATTACCACACTATACCATATGGTATTGGGTTGTAACGAAATATATATTGATATTATCCCACTATATCATATGGTATTGGGTGGTAACGAAATATATATTGATGTGGCAAATTCATACCATATGGTATGCTCTTATTTAATACCAGTCAATATCATATGGTGGTATAGTGGATACCATATGGTATAGACTGGTAATAATTGGAAAAAAATTTTTGTGTCAAAATAATATCAAAGTGGATATCATTTTGAAGAGCATAATTAATCTGATCTAACTGTGCAAAAAAAATAAATTGTGACTTAAAACGAGTGAAAAATCGTCCGTTAAAGATTAAGGGAAGAAAAATTAAAGGTTTTTCGAGGAGAGAGAAGGAGGTCCTGATGTGGTCGGTCAAAAGTTAGCGTCAGCAATGAATAGGGGATAAATGCAATTTACCTTACTGCCCTTTAACATTTAATTTAAATAAAAAAGTAACAGACACGTGGAGAGAGGAGAGGGGGTTACTGATAGGTTACTCACCCATTAGTTACTCACCCGATCTACTCCCGAAAACTGGATAAAGACCGGATAAGAGAGCTCAACACCGAAAACTTAAGGGTAATTTGCATAATTGGTCACAAACCTTTGCACTTAGTACAAAACTTAACCAACTCCTCACCCTTCAGGCCTTAGGCCACTCAAATCCATACAAGCTCAATATAAAATCAAGACCGAATTGGTACCGGACCGGATCAAGACCGGACTGCATCCAATCCAATCTTTGGTCCTTGTATTTTAAAAAAGACTGGACTGGACCGGATTAATTTGTGCCAATTTAACCGGACCGAACCGAATTAATTTGTATCAATTTAACCGGACCGGATCGTATAGCCACCCTAAGTATATAAGCTTATTTAAGAAAATCCTAATTCTGCCTCAACCATTCCGCCGCTCAACCTCTCTTTTCCTCTCTGACCCGAAGCAAAAACGACCCTTCTTCTCTCTCGCTCACTCGTCTCTTCCTCTCATCTCTCTGAAATCAAAATCAACCGAGAACAAAAAAGAACAATACCCAAAGCCTCCCTTTGGTTTGAATTTCGATCTGCCCTTCCCAATCCTATCTCGTTTTCTTTGTGGAAGCCGAGCAAAGACCCAAAAGTGGCAACGACGATGCTCCATACAGCCTTCAAACCGACGGTAAGTCAAGATTCGAGACTTGCATGTTCGTTTCTTAGGATTTTCTGAGTGATTTATGGTGTTTTTTGGGGGTTTTGACCCTTTTATGCTTTGGATTTCGGTTTCTATGGGTTTGATTTTGGGACTTTTATGGAACTTCTGATTCCTCTTGTGTTATGCTTTTGAGAGTTATGGCCGAATGGGAAGAGACGAGAGTACTGGAAATAGAAGGAAAAGAAGGACGCCGCCGGCAACTCTGAGTTTCACCGGCGGCGACGATGACAAGAATTAGACTGGGTTAGGATTTGATCGCTTAACATGTATTCGTTTTGATGCATCCCCCAATAGCACGACCTTTTTCTCTGTGGGATTTGCCTGAGAATAGGAAGAGTTGAAGGTTGATCTAAGAATGTGAAAATTGGGAAGGCTACCAAATTGCTAACTCGCCTTTCGGATAAAATAGGCTTGAGATGTGCTGGCTTGATCTATTTCTCTTCTTTCGCTGGTTACGTATCTGAATCCGAATGAATACATTTCCTTCCTTTTACTCCTCTAGTGAGCTCACTGTGTCAATGTCTACTATTTTCCTCTGATTTTACTGCTGAAGTTCCTCTTACTGAACTACTAGGTTCAAGTTTCAGGAAGTTGAGGCCGTGTAGTGTTGCTTCTGGTAGATTGTTTATCTCACAGGTCTTATTCTCTGCTGGGTTGCATTCTAGTTTTGGTTAATTTTTCTGTCTGTCTTCGTGGTAGATGGCGATTTCTGGTATTAAGATTAGTAAACATCAATAAATGCATGACAGAAAAGATCATTCCACCCTATTCCTGAAGAACTGCCAAGAGCTCTCGGAAGCTTGCACTGGCCTGCTGGGTCTGCTCTATTTCTTGGCATCAGATGTGCTGTTCTCTACAGGGATAAATACAAGCTTTACTAACTGCTCTTAGACGACTGCTTTCTTTCATTTTTGCCTGTTAGATTGCTTTTCTGGTTGGTGAATTTCCTTGTCTTGGGTATGTGGTCTCAATCTCATTGATAGTTCTTGTCCCTCATGGATTTTGTTCTGGAAGTTCACTCGATTGTCGCTCATGGTTTGTGGTTGCTCCCAGTTTTCCATCATTAATAATCAAAGTTCTTTTCCAAGTTCCTTAATATGCTCTAGCAAATTCATTAACTCATCGTTGTCTATTACCTTTTCTCATAATTGAGCGTTTCCCTTTCTGGTTATTTTCAGGGTTTATAGTGTTTGATATATAAGTTGGTACAAACAGAAACTCTGAAGTAAGAAACGAGCTAGCTTGGCTCTTGTTGGCAAGAAGATGCATCCTCCATTAACTTTACATAGGCACCCAATGTGCGCTGAAGTGAGTTTGAATCATTTTCGATTTGTCAACTTTCTTGCTGCAGCTTCTAGGCTTGTCTTTTCCTTAATGGTTGATGGTGGTGGGAATTAAACCTTCGAACCCTGGATATTGTTAGTAGAAGAGTGACTGGTTTTACCAGTAGGTCATTTTGTTGGATTCCCAACTTCTACGGCTTATCTATGAATTGTGTGCTTTCCTGGTAGTAGAACCGACATTACCTGGTAATACAATGACAAGCCTCTCCTTCCAGTGCAGATACATTCTTTTCTAGTGGTGAACTATGTCACTTATATTCTCTTGCTACGTCCTAATCATAGAGATTTGGCCATGCTGTAAAGGCAGTATGATAAGGTAAGAAGAGTAGTAACTGCCTGGATTGAGGGTTTTCAGAGGCCAAGGATAGCCTTTTGCATTGCTCTTCAGTTAACTGAGACCTATTAGCTTCTACTGATCATGTTTCTCGGCCCTAGCTTCTGTAGTCATTATGGATCTTCATATCAGAAATGAAATGTCAATCTTCATAATTTCATAAGGTTCTATGATGATTCTCAGACAAACCCAGAAAGGGTGATGTTTCTTCACCTTTGATGTGAAGAAATCCTTGTTTATGACTAGGTTGTCAATGCCCTACCTTATATTTGTGCCGTGATCACCTGTTTCTGTAATTCTAGAGCCATTCTATTTACTAACTATGATGTGAAAAATACTCTACAGATCATTGAGGAGTTCCAGAAGTGTCATCTGGACCATCCAATTGGTAAATTCTTTGGTGAATGTACAGAGCTCAAGATAAAGTTAGACCGTTGTTTCCGGCAGGAGGTTGGTTAGCTCTTGTGTATTTCGCCCTTCTTTCTGACTAGAATAACATTTGTGTTTCGGACATTCATTTTGGTGTTTCCTCAACACAATTTTGGGTTTTCCCCCCTACAGAAATCTATCAAGCGAAAGGCCAACTTTGAACAAAGTAAGAAACTGAAAGAAAGGCTGCAAGCGATGAGGAAAGAAGCTGCTGAGAAGAGCAGTGAGGAGAAATTTATGGGAGCTTAAGGAAATGATGCGCTGAGACGGTGATGCGCTGACATATGCTTCAATATCTTCAATTATCAGCTGAAACATTCATTCAATCTGTTCTTCCAGCTCTGGCGGTAGATTTGGAGTGAGATTATGGGGGATCGATTATTGTTGTGTATGATGTGGAAAACTTGTATTTGAAATTAGTGATGCTTATTGGATAGCTATACATATTTTTACCAAACATGCGTATGACGTTATTTGTTTATTTATTCGATGATAAAATAAATGATTATATTCTTGATTCTTGAATAAGGGTGACAATGATATCGTCAAAACCGGACCGAATGCTACATAATTTAGGAAAATGCTACATAATTTAGGACTTTGCTACGGTGACTTGTAAGTTATCATAGCTTCCACTTTTTGATCGACCTCAGTTAGGATTAGGTTGATCTAAACTTCTGTTGCAGATTTGTGAGGCTCAACGATGTGGTCGACCTTTTACAACAAAATGGTTGATCTCTTTGGGAAGGAATCATATTAAATGGGAGACCCAAATACCGCAAAGGCAAACTATTTTGCTACTAAAAAGTCGACCTCATAAGTGAAAAGGTTGATATCTGTGTAGTTAACTCATCAACATCAAAGTTAGGATTATTAAGGAAAATAGGATAAAAGGTAGACCTGACAAGTATGAGGTTGATCGCGTGCACACCGTATTCGTATTGGATAAGAATTCTAACACCAGAAAGGTAACACTAACTTGTCTACCACTTAATTAGACTCAATCTCGTCCTAAATATCTATTAATACAAATAAATGTCATCTTCACCGCCACCTGAATTTGATTTTTTGTACGGTTAGAGCTTTTGTGAAGAAGATCCGTTGTAGTTGTTATTGTACGTGTTTTAAGAGGTCGACCATGTGAAAGGTGAGGTCGACCTAATTTAGCTATCGTCGTCATCTTGTCTAATGCGTAATTTGCACCGTTTAATTTGATGTTTTGTTGCGTGAAGAAAACTATTCGGTTGACCCTTATCTCAATTAGGTGGTATCTATTTGACAATTGCTAGAAATTGAATTTATGGCACAACACTCAGGCTTCTATACTTGCGAGGTAAGGAAGATCAAACCCAATAGGTCGACCTAAATTTTGTCAAGGTCGACCGTTTCTGTTTGTTTTTATTGTCAAAGTGACAAATATGAAGAGAGAAGAATGCACAACAGCAAGGTGGCTCCTAGATTACGTATTCTCATTTCGAAGATTACGGGTTCCTTGCATAATTTGTGGAGCAAGATTGACTGAAGGTGATATCTCTCAATGTACCATACTACCCAAAAAATGGTACAATACTTCTACAACAACATCGTCTATCAGCCTAATGCAAATGGATTGATTCATGCTTTTAAAAGCTATGTGAATGGGGTGGAGATGCATATCACCAAGAATGTGTTGGCAGAAGTACTGGAGACTCCAAACCAGGGGAAGAGAATCAATTCTTACAGTGCTTGGAATGAAACTCATTTCTCGAGAACCAAGCAAATTCAGACTATATGTGGTCTTGCTGAAGAGGAAGATGTTTAGGATCGCAGTAGGCCAACGATTCACTAGCTGACAGTTCAAGCCAGAGTTCTTCACCACATGCTCTCCTACAACATTCTGCCAAAGGGTGGACATTGAGAGGCAAGTCACCTACTTCGACATGGAGCTCCTCACCAACCTACTTTCAAACGAGAAGGTGAACTTGTCATACTTGATCTTTAAACACATGCTTGCTGTTGCAGAGAGTTCAAGCAGGAATCTCCCCTATGGGATGATCCTGACTTTGCTATTTGAGCATTTTGGTGTGGATTTAAGTGGTGAGGTTGGCTTAAGAATCACAGAGCAGGAGTTCTATACAGTTTCATCCCTAAGGAAGATGGGATTTGAGCTGCATAATGGCGAGTATGTCCGAGCATACAATCCTCATGTAGTCCATGGTGGTGATGATGATGAGGATGCTGCTGCTGATGATGATGAAGAGCCAGGAGACAAGCGACTGGCGCAACCACAAAGTTTAACTCCACCAATCACCTTAGAGCGTATATGGGAGTGCATGGATGGCATGTACGACTACATGAGGCAGATGTCCACCCGAATGACTGGCATGTATGACTACATGGGGTAGATGACCACCCAGATGAGCACACTGCATGTGACTGTAACTGAGCTGCGAGATGTGTTCCAATCTTTTAATGGAAGATACATGCATTCCATCACATGTGACTACCATAATGCTAGCACCACCAATTAGGAGAATGGGGATGAGTGAGAGACGGGAGAGGTGATTGTGTGTTTTTGTTTAAGTCTTAAAAACGATCGTGGATTGTATTTCTTGTTAGTGTGTTAAGTTGTTATGTTATGAAATTATGAGTCCTTGCTATCATGATTTACGACCGATTCTGTTGGTTTGAAACGTAGTTTGTACAAGCAAACGAATCACCCACATTGTCATACGTAAGCAAAAAAGACGTAGGTCATAGGCTGATTTTCCTGTATTCGGTCGACCTCAAAACAAACACTCTTGATCTAGGGATGGCAACAAAACCCAAACCCACGGGTACCCTACCCAACCTAACCCGGATAAAATCCATGTTGACGGGTTTTGGGTCGGGTTCGGGTTTAAAGCCTTACACTATTCACCAGGTTGGGTTGAGTTTGGGTTTAGGGGTACCCGACCCTTGGATACCCTCCCACACTTATTTCATCACCCTACTCTCCCCAAAACATACCCTAATTCTAATTCCACCCAATCTAACTCTCACTACACTTATTTCGTGTGCTTTTATTTAGTGTAATTGTGATTTGTTAGAATTTTCTAGAGTGGTGTCTTATGTATGGATAATTTGTATGGGAAAATTGATGTTTGAATTTAATTTTGATAGGAACTTGTTATTGTAAATTTTTTACAACAAAAACCCATGGATACCCATGAACCCGCGGATACCCAGCAGGTTGGGTTGGGTTTGAGTTTTTCAAACCCAATGGGTTTTACCCCGGGGTTTTTTTATGAACAAACCCATGGGTTTGGGTTTGGCAAAACTCGACCCATTGTCATCCCTATCTTGATATTCATTTTACGTCAAAGGGGGGTGGATAAATGGATCGAACACTTTACTCTTCTATATGGCCGACCTCTTTCTGTAAAAGGTCGACAATTTTGGTAATGACCACCATTAAGTGGTCGACCTACTTACCTTTACGGTCCACCATTTTGCTTCTGACTCCAATGAAAAGGGCTACCAATATTTTATCGTGGTCGACCGGTAATGTCTCAACTTAACTGAAACGATCGACCAATACATTTTAAAGGTCGGCCGTGATAAGTCATCAGAATACCCACTTTAGTGTATTCGTTCGACCTCAGTTAGGAATAGGTCAACCAAAAAGGGCAAGTTACAGTTACTTGCAAGGCACCATAGGCGCACCCCATAATTTATTTGTACTAAAATGAATATATTTCGATCATAGAAATTATCCTAATTTTGAAGGAAAATATTATCAAAATTGAATTTGTACCGTCAAATCAAATGAATCAAACATACTTTTGGTTTGGTTTCTCAGATTTTCTTTGATTTTACTCTAGTTTTATCTTGATTCGATAAGGCTCTAGGTCGAATTCATCGACCCACACCCATAATCCTTAATCTGGAATACATGTCTACATTTATCATTGACTTATGGCTAATGACTATTTATTAGTCAAATCTTTTTTAGATTCTTTTTTATTAGTCAAACCTATCGAAATACTAAGAATTAGCCAAATGTTAACTTCCAGTTAGCAATTTTGTTAATAATATTTGACTTGACAACATGATATTGACTTGGAAGCATAGTTAGTAAATACTCCGTTTAATACACTTATATGTACCCATACGTATTTTATTCGTTTAAAACTTCTGTATCCATATTATTGTCAAGCCGTTTTATTTTTTTCATTCATTTGAGGGCTCTCATACTAAACACGTATAAAACCCTTATAACACGTTTAATATCCGTATTTAATGAATTAAATTGTTAACTTTACTATTATTTATATATTTATTTATTTTTAGAATAAATAATTTTATATACTTATGACTATTAACGTACTCTTAAACGTAACATTAGGTTAGAGCCGAAGTAAAATCCACGTACATATTTTATACGTAACTTTTCCTCACCGTATTTTACTAACTATGCTTGGAAGAGACACATGAAGGTCAACATTCCAAAATTTTAGTATTTTAACTAAGAACAGAGTTACAAAATTATTAACGATAGCGTAAAAATGGCTAATATTTTGATGCATTCCGAAAGATTTGGCTAATTGATAGCATTTTAATAGGTTTGGATAATTTAAAAGAATCTAAAAAAAAGTTTGAATAAAAAAATAGACATTACCCTTAACTTATTTATTTATTTCGTAGGTTTTTAACTTTGAAAAAAAGGACTAATTACGGCTTAAAGGCACCATCGATTCTCATGAGAGAAAAAATTATATCCTTTTTCTAAATGCTTGGGCTCATAATAAGGATTGCATTTTGACTAAAGCTCAAATCATGAATCCTAATAAAAAAATAAAGAGGTTCTAAGCCGGAACCCCTTTAGTCTCTGTTTTTCCTGCGCTCTACGCAATTCACGGGAGGATAGTTTGGTAAATTGGATCCGTGCGATTTAGTTGGGCCATGTGTCTGTTTTTACTATTATTTTATGCTGGAATCGCCGGTAGAGAATGAATGGATGTATGGGCCCTCTCTCAAGGCCCATTCTAGCTCCTAATGCTCCTAACACTAGCAACATCGGCCCATTCATTTCCACCTCCAAACACTAGCAACATCGGCCTCTCTTACAATTGACGGTGGTTGTCTCTCTGCTGCTTTTTTTCGCGTCAGGCTGGATTTTTCACATCGACGGTGCCTGTCTCTCTCCTGTTGTCTTCCGGAATTTTCACATCAACGGTGCCTGTCTCTCTCATGTTCCTCTCTCGATGCCGGCTATAACCTAAGACTAGTAGCGATTACGTTATTGTTAGTAATTTTTTAACTATTTTCTTAGTTATAATACTAAAATTTTGGAATGTTAACCTTCTCTTCTAAGTCTGAATCAATTTGGCAAGTCAATATTACTAACAAAATTGCTAACTGAAAGTTAACATTTGACTAATTAAATAATTATTAGTAATTCAATAGGTTTGGCTAAAATAGAATGCGTAAAAGATTTGGCTAATAAGTAGTGTTAACCCTTTTATAATAAAATATTGAAGTGATCAATGGTTGACTTGCTAATG